TACCCACTGCGCTCGAAAGCTGCCGCCTTTTTCGCAATGGAGCTGCTGCGACTAGGCGGGCGTCTTCGTTCCTCCATAGGGTCCTGAGGTTGCTGCTTGGGCTCAGACGCTTGTGTAGGAGTTGCGCCAATCGGCGGCCTCGGAGTTTCAGTTCGAGGCACCTCCATCTGCACGTCTGGCCCAGGATCCTGAGGGCTCGTCTTCGGTTTCGGCGCCGAGGACGGCTTAGGTGTCGGGGGTTCACTCTTAGCCTTCGAAGTTAGTGGGAGTGGGGGCTTCGTAGCCCCCTTCATGTAGATCTTACTAGAATCCGCCAACATCTTGCGAGTTGCCTCGCGAGTGCGTTCTTCTGCTGTCCGCATACGCTCCTCGTCCTCCGCCACACGTTGAGCCTTTTTCTCATCCTTGATTGTCGGTTCTGGTTGTTGGGACTGGCTAGAGACGCCAGGCGAGTTTCCTCGCATACTAGGAAGACTAAAGAGCGCGTCTTTCTCTTCCTGGGTCGTGGCTACCAGTCCCCTTGGAACAGGAGTAGGCTTCTCTTCTTCTTTCGGATCCAAGTGGCTCAAGATCCCGAGACGACGATTCACTTCTGCGATCTCGTCCTGTGTCATCGGGATAAGTTGCGGATGGCCCTCTTTATGAGGGGTTTTGCCCCTGTTGGGGCTCAGGCCTTCGTTGTTGCCAACGGGGCATCCTGGCCTGTGGTTCTGGAACGGCTCGGAACAAGGTCCGCATGCTGCGTGAGGCCTATACTGCTTGCGCGCCGCGATAATGTCTCGCAGCTGAGTCCGCGCTTCTTGAATTTCAGGGCGGCGGATATTTGTTGCAAGCTGATAGCCTCCGCGGATGGCCTTGCCATCACTGTCCCTATAGGCAGGGTTGCCCTTGCCGAAGGCCGAGTGTTCCCCTTTTCGGCGTCTTGGGTCGTTGTACGGAAGTAGCTGGCCACCTCTCCTAAGAGCGTGTTCTTTTGGGCCAGCCTGTCTCCACTCACGAGGAAGTCGAGCCTGTGGACGTGGCTCTTCTCTGACGCGCGTATGGGAACGAGACCTTCCGGTGTTCTCATCAGAAGAAGCTGCCGAAGCAGCAGGAGCGGCACCCGGTGGAGGTGCCTGAGGAGGCTCCTGTGCGATCCCAGATGGATCGTCCGATGGAGGCAGGTCTCCCTGCTGGATGGAGCTCGGCGCAAATGGCGCTTGTGCCGATGGTGACGATGATTCAGACTCGTCAGGATCGAAGTCAACCTCTTCCTCACCATTCACGTCCATCATGAGGATGGTGACGTCATCCTCATCTAACCCGCAACCATCGCCTTCAACTTCTTCTGATGTCGAACTACCTATGATGATGGCCATTGGCGTATCTGTTACAAGCAGGTTTCCCTGCATAGCCGGCGTCTGTGCGTCGCTCGGCTGTCCCGGGGTAGGAGGCGCTGTTGTCGGCTCAGGCTCGTTGCCGAGCACAGGCTGCCCGGCAATATTGCGCATGGCCGTATGGTTTGGCCACATTCCCACCGCCTGGAGACCCCATCCTGGCGGGGGAAGATCATGACCGCGCATAGCAATAGCCATTTCTAGAGCATTACGCCATCTACCACGGGAGTATATCAAGTGTCTCTGCACGTCCTGAGGATGCACGCTGTCAATGAGAGTCAGAGCTGCCAACAACAGCTCTGAGCTGCCACAAGCATCAGTATCCTGCATTATCATAATGTCAGCTTCGATATGTTCTTGACTCTCAGGATAACCAGTAATAAGTATCTCATGCATCCTCATGAGGGTCTGCAAAAGGGCGCGTGGTCCATATTCGCCTGGAGCAAGCGAACCAGGAGGTATAGACGGAATATCTGGTTCGCCTGCAATGAAGGCCTGGACAAATGCCTGAGACTCAATTTCAATTAAATCTTCAGTGGTCTGGGGATATTTTCCCATCAAAGACGGCCTGTTTCCAGGCGGGATTTCGGGCGGAGGTTCGAGGTGTCGTTGAACCTCGGAAGGCGAAGCCTCTATAGTGGTGTCCTCGTCGCTACTCTCGTAGGCCATGATGTTGCCTGGGTTCCCGAACATCCAGTCGAAGAAAGAAAGAGGCTGGTTTCCCAACGTACCGTGGTCCACGGGAGTGAGCTCGATATTGCCCATAACGAACCGGCGGACGTACTCGAGGTAGTACGCGTACAATCCATGACCATACGCCTCGAGCTCGTCGACGTTGTCCATGCCAACAACCCAAGTGAAAAATATCTGCTCCATAGCCTCAAAGTCCTGGAGGCTCAGATACTCAATGGATGGTTCACTTGAGCCAAAATGGACTTCGGTCGACCTGCCCTTTCCATTTCCCTTCACTGGACAATCTGGGCACAAGATGATCGGAACTACCACATTCATGGCATTTAAGAACCTGGCCGTCTCTACCTCGCGGGTTCCCCCGCCTACCTTTGCCTTTTCCTGAGGTCTCTCTACGGCCTTTACCACGGCCTTTTCCCCCAAAGAATATCTCATCATGTTGTTCATCTGAAAGCCTCTGGAGAAATGCCGCGATGCCTCGTCCGTTCAACCTCCGACGACCTCGCTTGCCTTTTCCTTTTCCCTTAAAACTTCTCCGTGTCCTCCTTCTAACACGACGCACTGGTTTTCGTGTGAACCTCCTCCACCTTCGTTTAGCCTGTTGTAATAAGCAGAACAAATGTTCAGCACGCTGATTGTCGTTATCCATATTCATAATATCTGACCAATCTAAAGCTTCAACACCATCTGATGATATAGTGTCTGTATCAGTGCCGGAGTCGAAATCCTCGTCTCCCAAATAGGTGGATACACCGTCGGTTGGGGGGTTTGATTCCCCCCATAAAGAACGGTGTGGTTGTGGTTCTCTAGAAGGAGGGCTGGTTGCCCAGCTTGGTTGTGATCGATCCCCTGCTAATAAAGCAGTGGATTCTCCTGGGTCATCGGCCCATATGCTTGAGGGCCCGTTTCCAGGCTGGGCTTCAGTAGTCAAGGTAGTGTAGAAATTTCCACTACCAGATCCCCTTCCCCTTCCAAACACAGATCCTATGTTACCAGGAGACCGTTCAGATAGGTGGCCTACCGAACGCATCCTCTCCAGCAACTCATCGTACTGTTGTTGTGTTCGGGGCGTTTGGTGATTGAGTGGCTGTAAGAATTGCATGGTTCGCTGGTTGCCGACGCCTAAGGCGCGGAATAGGATAGTGGTTAGCAGTTGGAAGTTGGGAAGGTCGAATCCCACCGACTGTGCCTCAAGTCGGGCCATTTCGAATCGGGTAAGGGTGACATCGATTCGTTCCCCGTGAGGCACGTGGAAGTCGATGAGTTGTGTGCCGGAAGTGAGCTGTCGCTCATCTTCCAGGCGTTCGAACTTCATGCTTAGGAGGAACATGATGTAGGTCACTGGGTCGGTGTGGACCCCATCGATGTCAGCACCATAGTTTATAATGTCAGGCGGTACCCTCATGGCGAGTGTCCTCGCTAGGCCACCTAGGCCGCGTTGTATTGCGGCCGCTTGGGCCTGTGGCGTCATACGTCCGCTTGTAACGTTGAGCCATGCGTTGACCTCGTAAATGTACTCGCGAAAAGGTACATTACCTTGAGGAACCAATATGGGCCATGTGTTTGCCCATCGGTGCTGTTTTCTCCACGACGCATGTGTCCGATTGCTGCCCCCAGCGCGAACCATATAATAGCGAAAACGACTAGCCCGATAATGTGTAGAGAAGGACGGTTATTATGCGCGTTGCCGCGCTGGGGTAGCGCCTTGTCGAGTCTTCGAGGCGCTCTGTCTGGCGGGTCTCCCCGCCCCTGCTTCAAGTATTGCGCTGTTAGCTCGTTGCCGAACGGTTGGTGGTAACGCAATAATGAAGCGTATATGGTACTAATCTGGTCGTCTAGACGTCGTACCTCTCGTGTTGCTTCTTGCTCTTGGATAGATCCTCGTAAACGTACTGGAAGTGGTAGCGCAGGGTGGTAGGTGGTCATGAAGATCGTGCCGAAGAGTATGAGGCTAAGAAGAGCAAGAGCTGACCACACGAGAGTGCGGCCAACTCCGCTACCAAGTCGAAAGTGAGCCTGGTAGCTCAAATATGGCAAATTGCGTCCATCGCTCTGCTGTGAAGGTACAGTATGAGGGGTGGACGGATAAGATCGGATAAGATCGATGTAGTGATCTTTCCAGCACATAGCGAACACTCGCGGTGTCCGGGCAAATCGGGCGCGCGTGCCTTGGGCCAAAGGCAACGGCGCGCGCGGGCTATGCTCCCGATACTATAACATATCCCAAAGACCTACCCTTAAAGTTGCCTCTCCTCCCCCACGTCCTTTTTCCTCCTGGACATCATGATCCTTCTCGCCGTCCTTCTCTTGCTACTCCCCCTCCTCTTCCAGGGTGTAAGCCCCCGGGCCACGACATTCTCAACTGGAAGCCACGACTAAGAGGGAACGCTTGGGGGGGGAACGGCGAGGGGGTAGGAGGGGAGGGAGAATCAAAATCCAAGGATGAAGGGGGAGTGAGGAGGGATACAGGAGCGACACGATTAGACAAATATCCAGTCGAAAGTACGAATCGCGGCCTTCCACGTTGTGGAACTTGGGGGGGGGGGGGGGGGGGGAATTTTTCCCATCGGGAGCCCACATTATCCAGGGCGCCTCGGGTTTCTGGGGGAGGGAGCCCGAAACTCCAAGCTGAAGTGGATATGGATACAAATCTCGCCCGCACCGCACCCAAGGCGAGGGCAAGGTTCGGATGTCGCAGCCGATGCTGCATCTTCGGGGGACCTTGCCTGTCCCGTCGCGCCGCGACCCACGTCGAATCCGTGCCGAAAATGGGCCGGGCACGTCGGATCCGTGTCGAGTCGGTGTCGAACCCGCGTCAGATCCGCGTCGAGCCCGCGTCGACCGCGTCGGAGCACGAGGAAACGCTGCCACGCACAGGACCCGGAAAAGGCCCCCCCGACGATGCGAAGCCACCGGCTGCCCTTCGGCGGAGGCCTGCCCGGCCTGCTCCCAGGCCCAGGCCGCGCCGCGCCGCGCCGGCAGCGCCACCTCCGCGGGCGCGGGCTCCAGCGGCTGGACACTGCCGCGGGCGGCGCGGACGTAGGCGACTGCGGGGCGAGCCCTGCCGTCTGGCTGGCGGCAGATGTGCGCTCGGCGGCAACTCCTAGGAGCCTCACGTGGACGAGCGCCGTCCCACTACGTGCTCGCAAGGGAACTCCTCGCAAATGGCCTGGAGGCGCCGCGAGGGATTTACGACGCATTCCATAGGGAGGCAGACGTGTTTTCGGCTCTCGGGCGTTTGCGAATGTAAGCACTTTGCGAATCGTGGAACGCGCTCGGTGATCATGGGTTCCGTCGCTATGTTGTTCCGGCCCCGGCACCTGTTCTGGTCCCGGAGCCCTTGTCTGTTGCCGTTTCCGGTTGCCGTTTTGTTTGACGCTCCCGAATTCAAGAGACACTCATTTTCGGAAGCGGTGAGAAGACGGCCCTGACGCTTCTGGGGCCCAACCAGCTCCCATACCACCTTGCTGACTCTTGCGGGTCGACTCTCGGCCACGCGCATCGGCGCTCATCGGCGTCAGGTGGACGCTGATCGGCGCCAAATCGGCGCCATCTCATCGACTATCCCTCCCGTGCCGAAGCTGGTGGTCCAGGCGGTCCCTGACCATGGGTGGTGTGATGTTTTTGAGGCCCCCCAGAAACGCGACAAACGCAACTCGATCGCCGCGATGGGGCTCGATGGCCCCGCCCGGCCCGGGAAGCGCGTTCTCGGCATCGAGCGCCTTAGCGATTACATTACCTCGCCGATCGTCTCCAAATCGGACGACGCCGGCGGCGCATCATCGACCGTTTCCTGGGAGTTTGTCGAAGTGGTGCGCAGCATCGAAAGTCGTGACGCGGCGCGTATGCCAGCTATCAAATAGCCGTCGGCCCATCCCGCCACCGTGCGGGGGTTTTGGGTCGGAGTCCACATGGACGCTTCCTGGGGTCTCTACTGCATTACCTCGCCGATCGTCGCCACATCGGTCGACGCCAACGCGCTCCGACGACGGAGCTGCGAGGGCACGCGCGGCTCCCAGCGTTCGCCGCCGGACACGCGCGGCCGTTGCCAGAGGTGCCCCTGGGCCCCGCCTCCTCCTCCTCCTCCTCCTCCTCCTCCTCCTCCGTCCTCCCTCCCCCCTCCTCCCTCCTCCCTCCTCCCTCCTCCCGCGCGCCGCCCCCGTGGGGGGAGGCCAACGGGGGTTGAGCCCGACGCCGAGGTCGGAGGCGTGCCTCCACCGAGGGAGGGTGGAGGGTGCACCCTGCGAAATGCTTTAAGAAATCATGGGTTCAGAAATTCATGGTCTCAGAGTTTGAATAAAAACCCAGAACTTCTATCAGAATCTTCGGATTCACACCGAAACGCTAAGAATAATCGAGACCATGGCCGAAATCGCAAGTTTTCTTAAGCATCGCCCAGGGTGTGGTCATAGTTTGGCGTCCGAGGTGGCCGAACCATGTTACCACCAGCACCGAACTCTGGGAGCCTCTTCCCCCGGCCGAAGCATGCCCGTGGGTGGGTGTTGGTGCCCATTTCCGGGCCTCCGCTTGCAAATGGGCACGAGCACAAGCACCGGGGTCTGCCTCGACCGGGAGAAGCTGATCCTAGATCTTGGCGCTGGTGGTAATACTTCGGCCACCTTGGGAGCCCGAATATTACCGCCATCGCCGAGATCGGGATCACCTTCCCTCGGTGGAGGCACACCGCTGATACTGTTGTTGGTGTCAACCTCGAGGCCTCCTGGGGGAGACGGGAAGGACGAGGAAGACGAGGCTGTGGAATCGTGAACCGCGGAGCACGGCAACCGCGAACGACTCCGCGCTCTCGTGGCGGCCAGCGGGGCTCCCCCCAGGGCGGAGCCTCCGGCGCCGCCCTCGGCGCGCCCCGAGGGGGGTCCAGCGCCGATCCAAAAACTTCGCGCGGACCTCCGGAACGTTATGCTTGCAGTAGGGGCTCGACCACAAGAAACCTTGAACCCCAACCCTGAGATACCAGGACGTCCATTGATTCCTGGCGTGGGGACGTCGCGCTTTCCATCGCAAAGCCCTCGGAACCCAAGAAACCCAGGGCACCCTGGACGCAAGCGGGGTGCTTCTTGGCATGGGTCTCCACTGTACTCCAATCTTTCCTCCTTCCAGCCTGGCCCAGAGGTTCGACGATGTGATTTGGTCAATCCTGGCGCCTGTTTTGTATTACGCCCCGCTGGGTGAAGGGGCCCTGGGACACACAAGTGAATACACACAAGTAGCGGGATTCCCTAGGTTTCCCTACACTTTCTGGGTCCTTGTCTCCCCCCCCCCATTTCCAATATTTTTTCCTCTATTTTCTGAGGAATCGACGATTCATTGTGCCTGTGCGTTTTCCTTCCCTCCTGACTGGTGCCCTTCCCTGGCCCGAGGACAAGCCTTGGTGGTCCCCAAACGTGGTGGTGAGAACACCCGGTGGTGAGTTTTGGGCGATTTGGGTAATGGTTTTCGAGCGCTGGCTGGCCCAGGAAACGCAAAACCTCGTGGCGACCGCGTGTCCCCAAACCCGGTGGCGACCCAGAATTATTTTTGGGGGAATCGGGGTCACCACCGGGTGTCTCACCACCTGGTTTGGAGACCACCAAGAAGAAGAAACAACGCCTTAAACATAAACTTTTGGCGCTCCGCGCGGATTTCTTGGATCCGCGCTGGGACCTCCTGGCGGCGCCTCCGACGCCGCCCCTGGCACGCTCCGCGCGCCAGGGAGGGGGGTCCGGCGCAGATCCAAGAAATCCGCGCGGAGCGCCAGAAGCGTATGTGTATGTCGTTTATGCTGGTTTGGAGACCACCTGGTTTGGAGACCACCAAAAGCCGGACGCGGACGCGCGCGGCCGACACAGATCCGCCACCGGGGGATGGGTCGGTCCACGAGCCCCCGAGGCCGCGGCCTGCAGAAGCCATGCAGACCGGAGGATATGCCTGCCGGTGGCGGGCGCAGGGGGGGGGGAAGGGAGCCTGTTTTTTTTAGACTCTGGCGAATTTACTTCATGGACGGGGGGGGGGCTGAGCCTGAAGCAAGCCCGGGGGGGGGGCGCGGAAATCACGCAAGTCGAAAGGCACTTGCACGCTAGTATTCGCTTGAAGAGGAGGCGAGGGGGGGGGGGGGGGGCGAACGCCATGCAAGTAAGCTTGCCTGACTCAAAAAAAAACAGGCTCAAGGAGCACGAAGGAGCCTGTTTTTCTGGATTCGCGCAAATTTACTTGCGTGGCGTTCGCCCCCCCCCCCACCCACCCCCCTCGCCCCTCTTCAGGCGAGTACTAGCGTGCAAGTGCCTCTCGACTTGCGTGATTTCTGCGCCCCCCCCCCCTGGCTTGCTTCAGGCTCAGCCCCCCCCCCCGTCCATGCAAGTAAACGTGCCAGAATCTAAAAAAACAGGCTCAGACCTTCGCAGAAGGCCTGGAAGTCCTCCACGGCCTTCTGGCACGTGGTCGACGCCTCTCGCCCCGAAGAGGCACGGGGCACTTCTCAGGAGGCGTGGGGGCTTCTGAGGCGTCCCGCCGCCTTCTGAGAAGGCCTCCTCCTTCTTACCCACCCGCCGCGCTCGCCGTCGAGTCGGCGGCGCGCGATGGGGGGGGGAAACAAAAGAAGGAGAAGGGACTTCTCAGAAGCCGGGACTTCTCAGAACCTGCTCACAAGGCGCCGGGACTTCTCAGAAGCCCTCGCGCCTTCTGAGAAGCGCTCCCGCGTCTCCTTCGGGGAAGGCCGCCTCCGAAAACTCCTCCGAAGGCCGGGGGGGCTCCCGAGCCTTCTGGGAGGGCCCGCCCCTTCTCGCCTCCCCCGCGCGCTCGACACCGAGAGAGGTGGCCCTGGCCCGAGGTGTCCCCAGGGGCCTCCCGGGAGGCCCCGCGGGTGGCCTCCAGAGAGCGCCCCTCCTCGCGAGGACCGGGGTGGTGGTGGTGGTGGTGGTGGTGGTGGTGGTGGTGGTGGTGGTGGTGGTGGTGGTGGTGGTGGTGGTGGTGGTGGTGGTGGTGGTGGTGGTGGTCATGGGTGATGGTGGTGGTGGTGGTGGTGGTGGTGGTGGTGTACATCGCTTCGGGCGCTCTCGCGGGACATCGCGCACACCCGCACTCCGCACACCGGCTCGTCCTGGATCCCCCGAGTGGTGGTGGTGGTGGCGGCGCGCTCCCTGCTCCCAACTCGACTGGAGGGAGCCCTGGACCCCCCCCCACCTTTCTGCGGCATGCTGCGAGCCAAGGGCCAAAGACAAGGCAGAACTGCCCGTGGTGGAACCATGGCAACGCCAGGCTGCCATGGTGCGCCATGGGCCAAAGACACCCCTGGCAACGCCCGAGATGTGCAGCCCGCAGGCGTACAGCCCGCCGGACGCCTCCCAGTCGCAGTGCCCCGACGGCTCGGAGCTGGACTTGATGCTCGTTCAGGGGACCTTCCTGGCGAGACCAGCTCCACTCATGCGTCGATGCTGCGTCGAACGTCCGTCGACTTGAGTCGAACTTGAGTCGCACACGAGCCGAGCTGAAGTCGATACCCAGTCGAGCTAGAGTCGACCAGATCCGCTAAGTTTTGGTGACAACGCATAGGAGCCTCCCTACCATCTTGTTGGCCGACGGTAGTCCCCGCTAGTCGACGGTGATCGACACTAACTCGACGCTACTCGACGCTAGTCGACACTAAATCGGCGCTGTCACATTGATTACCACATGCTGCTGCCGCGTCGCTTCGCCGCCGCCATCACGTCCCCTCCTTTCCCTGAGTCCGTCGCCGCTCCACCCTTTTCCTTGGGCCCTCGTCCTCAAACACGCCAGCCAGAGCGAAATATACTAGCCCATCCACAGCAAAATTAAACAATGTTGTCATTGAGCCGAAGGGAAAAGCCCCTTCCCTTTGATCCCTTCCTCGCGGAAATGGGGGGGGGGCCCGGGGGGTGGTCTGGGGGGGTCCTGGGCCCGCGGGTGGTCCCGGGTCAGAATACCACCCTCCCGGGGCCCATGGCCCGTCCTCTCCCTCCCATTTCCGTCGAGGGCCAAGGCCTCCAGGGTCGGCGGCACCAGCCTCAAGGCCTTAGCAATAATAGGAGGGTACACGAGGCTGCCACAACTTGCTTCAGAACTGGGCGGGCCCCAGGATGGTCCCCGACACGAGCATCTACGCTGGAGGTCGTGGCGCCCTGCTCGGCAGCAACCCAGGCCTCCGATGGGCTTGTTTTCCACCACAACCATACGTTGGAGGGGAAGGGGGTCCTCCTCCTCAACCTCCTCCTCCACCTCCTCCTCCTCCTGCTCCTCCTCTTCGTCCTCCTCATCCTCGTCCTCCACCTCCTTCCCCCCTCCAACTTATGGTGGTGGAAGTGGGGAAATCTTAAGGTACCGATGCCGCTACTGCCTGGACCTCTCCCGGGGTGCGTTCTGACCGGAATTTCGAGGCGAATCCAACGGTGGCAACAAGGACCTCCCAGGAGGCCCAACAAGGAGAAAACGTGCGAAAGGTAGATAAAGAGCTGAACTCTATGCACCGACACCGACGCTTTTCCTGCCCCGCACTGAAACTTGCACAGGAGAGCGGATGCTCGTGTAAACGGGATCCTGGTGTATACATCGTTCGCTGCTTCCGCAGGGAAGCGGGGAAAACAGTATCCACCACACCACCCCGACTTCGTCCCCGACCCTGAAAAAGTCCTGGGATTGAAAAAACTGCCCGCCACTGGTAATGCATAGGTTCCAAGTTCCGAAAATGAGGTATGGTACCTTTTCCTCCTGATGAGGACGAGGAAGTCTGGGTCTTCCTTCTCTGAGCAAGTACGGATGAAGCCGGATGAAGCGGGATTAAGCTAGATTTCGGACCAGGGAAAAGTCAGAATTTGACCTCCCAAGAGTTGCATCCGAACGAAGGGTAGCGGTATGGGTACCTTTTCCCTTTTCCTCCTCATGAGGAAGACTGGCCCACCCGGGCCTCCATGCACGGCGTCCGGAGCGCGCCGCCCGCCTCCAAGCGGGCCCACTGCCGCCCCTCGCCGTTGCGCCGGTAGAACAGCGACCGGTTGGCCCGGCTCCTGGGCGCGCGCCGCACCGCGGGCTCGCTTGCCGTGTCGACCCGGGCGCTGTGCTCGGGCCGGGCGAACGGGGGGGGGATAGCAAAGGCGGGGTTTGAGACTCAGCTCGCGTAGCTGACTTTCCCTGCGCCGGAGACGGCCATGCATCGAGGACTGGGCCCCTCGGTGGATGCCACGGCAATGGACGCCCCCACAGTCCTATCATCGAATGAAAGCGTGTCTCGAGTGTCGGAACAAATGTTCTAGACATGTTTGGAAACCGTGTTTTACATGATTATAACTTGTGTAACACATGTGTTAAAAATCTGGAAAGTCTTTGGCAACATGCTTCCTCTCCATTGGTCGTCCTCCACAGCGCTATGTTGCTCCCATCGCATTTTGGGGCCAGGAGCCCAGAAATGATGTCGAGCGCCCAGAAAAGTATCGAAACAGTGTCGAACACATATATTTTCACTCGCGGGCAGAAGCGATAGCCCTCTGACCTGGATGCCACGACAGTGGACGCCCTAACAGTCCTATCATCGAATTTAAGGTTTGTCTGTCCTAGACATGTTTGAAACATATGTTGTTTTACACGTTTGAAACACGTTCAACACATGTTTTAAACATCTGGAGGCTACTTCGCAACATGTTGCCTCTCCATTGATCGTCCTCCACAGCGCTCTGCTGCTCCCATCGTACTTGGGGACCAGGATCCCAGACATGATCTCGAGCGCCCAGACAAGTATCGAAACAGTGTCGAGGCCCCCGATGGGGCCCAAAAGAGGCTCCTGAGAGGCCTCAGAACGGCCCCCCAGGACGCCCCAAAAGTGCTGCCAGGGGTGCCCAGAAAAAGCCCACGAGCAGAGCAGCGGTCCGCCGAGCGCCCCCGACGAAATCCCAAGAAGCCGAAACCCTCTGCAAACCTCGCTCTTCACTCTTACTGCCGCGCCAAGGGGTCGGCGGTGCGGCGTCAGCCAATGAAAAATTTCGAGCATCCCGAACAGTATCGAAACAGTTGGACAGATGTCGCCTTCCGGGGCACCCTCACGTGAAAACCCTGAGGGTTCGGTACTTTCGGGGCGCTCGAAATTTTTGGTGATCAAGGCTGAAGCAAGTTGGAGCATCATAAGTGTCGTGTCGACCCTCACGTTGGTTCCTGACACCGCGGCGATCGTTCAACCTTGAACGATCGGCCGCTGCCGAAACGTCAGAGCGTTCCGCATCGGCCGATTCTGGGTCGCCGGCGGCGTTCCAACGTTGCACTCTGGAATCGAGGTCGCCGCTGGTCGTCACGACGCGAACCCACCGTAAGCGGTCCCTGATCCCGCTGGCATGGCCTTGTCCCCACGCTCCATTGGTCCCTATCCTTAGGTCCCGCTAACAGCGATGTTGCTTAACGGTGATGTTGGGAGCCAAAGTGCAGGAAATCACGAACCACACTTTCCTACGGTACATCTCCAATCTGCAAGTAAATCGAGCGAACACGACATAGCGAGCTGTAGGAAAGCGCGAGCCACGTGTTTCTACATTACCGAAACCTACATCGCTGTCGCCCACATCGCCCGTCTACGCCTAACCTCATGCCCGTGAGAATAAACACTAGGGGATAATAAAGTTCGGGGTTCAGGGAGAGATAATACAAGTAGCCCAGCAGACCTCAGCATAATCTCGAAGTAAGAGATGATCAAGAGGAGACCAAGCCGAGCACGTTTTGAGACATCCTTGGCGTTTAGTTTTCATAGAAATATCCTCAACAATGGCTTATCTCGCTGGAGACATCCTCGACAAATCCCTTGTTTCGCTTGAGACATCAGAAGAATAATACAGTAGAAGAATACAGTAGAAGAAGAATAAGAAAGAAGAAGAAGAGGAGAATCATAATATGACGAAGAAAGGAAAAATCCAAAGTTCCAAATCTATCAATTTTATTTTACAAACGCTTTATGAAAATTGATTGTTTAAAGTGCTCGTGTAGGGTAGCTCATGTGCTTCATTTTCCATGGATAATCAACCCCAGGGATAAAAAAGTTCAGGCGAGCGTGAGGACAGATAGAAATATAAAAGAAGAAGAGGGAAGTATAATAATAATAAGAAGAGAAGAAGAAGAGAAGAAGAATAATAAGAGTAAAAGAAGAAGAGCTATATCAACATCGCTTGGTGTTGCTATCTCAACATAGCGTTTCGAGGTGATAATGAAGTTCGGCCTCGGCGCTCGCCGCCCAATTTGAATTTTGTATAGGGCGACGATAATCAACTCTAAACACTGAAGGGGGGGGGGTCCCTTTATTATCATCGGCATGCGGTTATCCCCGCTGGCGTGGCCTTGTCCCTACTGGCCGGCTGAGCTCCCGGGGCGGGAAGATGTGTGCTGTTGTTCCCGTTGGGTCTCGCCGGACCTGTCCCTTAGCTGTCTTTGAAGGATTGGCGACTCATGCATGTAGAAGCTCCAGCAGGAACACATCAGGGAAGGGAGCGCACTAACGAGTGGTCACGGTGCGACGTTAAATAGACAGACGAGTAAAATAACACACGCGATGCCCAAGTGCTGACAAAACTACTTCACCAAGAGAAGCACTCAGGAATTCGGATGAGTTCAGATCATTGTGGCACATGCCACAATAAAGCAAAAACGCATGACCTAGATATCAATAGCTCATGACTTGTAAACGTCCGATGGCAACCACCTTCAAACTGATGAAAGCGCATGTAAGATCACACGGAGGGGGGCCCTGGCTGAGGTCCAATTGCTGGTGCCGAGGTTGGGCCAGCGCTGAGAATCGGGGAACGGCTCGTGGGCACGTGGCAGATTGAGAGGAGAGACAGAGAGACAGAGAGACAGAGAGAAAGAGAGAGCGAGAAAGAGAGAGAGAGAGATGAGAGAGAGAGAGATGACTGAGAAAAAGGGACAGATGAGAGAGAGAGAGAGAACAAAAAAAAAAGGATATGCGAGAGAAAGAGATAGATGATAGAGAGAAAGGAAGAGATGAGAGAAAGATAGAGAGAAAGAGAGAGAGCAACACACACAGAGAGAGCGTGTGTTTGTGCGTGCGTGCATATCACAATGGGACTGGCGACCGCTTGCGATGAAAGGCCGGCTGCGACGATGTTCGGTTCGAGCCCTCGCCTGTGCAGCCTTGCGTGTTTTGGTATGCTCTGCGCTCATGAGGGCGGCACGCGGCACGCAGCAACCGGAGAAGAAACACCAGAGAATGCGAGAGAGAAAACTGAAGGGGCCCTGGGACACACACAGACAAGTAGACACAACTAACAGGATTCCGAATAATTTTGCTACATTTTCTGGGTTTTTGTCTTCCCCCCCACATCCCATATTTTTAATATTTTTGGGGAAAGCGACGATTAATTGTGTCTGTGTGTGTTTTTCCCCTCCTGAAGAAAGATGGTCCATGTTCGGCCAGGAGGCGTGGGCCCAGGACCCAGGATGTGCACAGAAGCAGGGGGTCTCGCCGCGGTCTGTGAACTGCCCACGACCCCGGACCTGGGTGAGGACGACGGGGTGAGGAAGACAAGCGATAGAGGACGGTGGGTGGAGTGTGCGCCTAGAGTGCGCCGAGTGTGCGCTTGCTCTGCGAACGTATTTTCGAATGCAACTTCAGTTTGCGCCTTGTGTGCGCGCGATGTTTGCGAAGCAGGTTTGGATTGCAATGTAGCGTGCGGCCTCAGGGCTCAAAAATCACAGTCTGCAAGTGTGCTTGCAGTTTTCGTGCGCGCCGAGCGTGCGCGAGCTCCGCGAAGTAGCTTTGACTGCAAACCCGTGTGCGCCAGCGAGTGCGCCTGCCTTGGGAAAGTGCGTCCAAACGCGATTTCTGTGTGCGTCTTGGTGTGCGCCCAACGTGCGCATGGCGTGCGCCGGGCGTTGTATGACGGGGGTCCAAGTTACACAGGGAGAGAGAGGGAGATACACAGCGAGAGATAGAGAGAAAGAAAGATACTTTGAGGACATCATCTGCAGGACGATACAGGTGTGAAGGTGGCTGAGGGATGAGGATGCGGACGCAGGAGGATAGGGGGATAGAACACGAGGTGCAGGGGTATGGGAGTGGGTGGACGATAACGAGACTGGGTAGAGAGGACAGAAGGGATAGGCTATGATAGGTTATCACAAACTCTTGACCATTGTGCGACCTACTGTAGATTTTATGATTCCACACAGAAGACATGTACATCTACATCTATAAGACAAGCATGTCTAGTCTATCGTAAGTATTATGCACCTTCTGTTGTTACTCAATTATGATGAACAAGTTGTTGAATGGTTTTGTCTAGTGGTTGGCATGTATAGTGTGCGAAGCTTACATTACATCCCGATCCTCGGTAATCCTATCATCCTTCTGGGTGCAGGTAGTTTAACGGATGTCATCTCTCTACCAAAGCTCCTACCTTCCCCTGCTCGGGAAGGGGTGTTTCACTGTTCCGTGTTAAGATACACCCCCTCCCCCAGGCGACCGGCACTCAACCAGGAACAATGAAGACTCCACGAAGGCCAACCCCCCACTACCCCTGTCCAAAAAATATTACAACATACATGTTTTGGCGAAGTCTGGAGTCATGTCCGCGAGGCCTGCAACAACCTTGTATTGTTGTTTTGACAGGGACAGCGGGGGTGTCAGTATATTGCCTGCTGCGCGCAGGGCTACCATCCCTGACAAAAAAGAATACAAAATAATACAACACGCATCTCGCGGCTCAATCTGGATCATGCGCGGCCACCCCGCGATCACAGTCAAGTGGTGGCGCGTGGCCTGCTGTGCGCAGGCCCACCAGAGACAATGACGGGCATTCGTGTTCGACATGGATGGTGGGGGCCGACATGTTTCCCGATGTGTGCTGTCACGTGCAGAGGCGTACCTGACACACTCTGCACGTGCCCCGAACGTGGCGCACATGGCCCGGCTGGAGTATGCGGCACACCTGGCGCACGCGGAGGTACGTGGCGCATCTGGCGTACCAGGCGTGCCTGGCACGCTGGGGCCCCAGGGAGACTGGCGCGCATGGCACGCCTGGCACGCGAGGCGCACCACGCCCCAGCGTCGCGCACATGTGCTCGGTTCTGGTTCCCAGTAGCTGCCCATCCAAAGACGATCTTTGAACATGCTGAGGCTCAGGTGCTACTCATGTGTTGGGAGAGCGGGTGGGAGTGAGCCGACCCCCCTCCCCTGGGCCTGGAAGGGGGGCCCCGCGAGGGTTAGAGCGTCCAAGGTAGTCCGAGATGGCCCCAAGAGGGCCTCTGAGAGCGAATGATGGCCTCCAAGAGGGCTCACGATATCTCAAGATGGTTCAAGAAAACCTCCGCCTCACATCGAAGAAGCCTCAAGACGACCGTAAGACGGTTTCACGTGCCCTTCGAGCCCTCCGAGGACCCTTCCCCAAGAGGCCAACTTTGCTCCAAAACCTAAGGGACATCCATGTGCGTTGCCTTCTCGCCTTTTCGCTTCCGATGGGCTCTTGAGGCCATGGCCCCAAGATTGCACAAGAGAGCCCCTAGAGGGGCTCAAGAAAGCCAGGCAGTCCCAAGAGCGCCCCAGAGCGCCCCAAGAGGGCCTCGAGACGCCGCTTTTGAGCCTCTCAAAGGTGGGACCTGAAGTTCCGCCCCCCTTCTTTTATCATCATGGGGGCCGAGATGGCCCCAAGAGGCCTCCCAGACCCCCCACCGAACCCCAAGAGGGCCCCAAGAGGGCCCCAAGAGAGCCCCAAGAGGGCCTCAAGAGTGGCCCAAGAGGCTCCGCGAGGACCCCAAGAGACCCAAGATGGCTCCAAGAGGCCTCTGATAGAACGCTTCCAAGGCGCCTGTTATACTGCACTCTTGCACACCTCCCTGATGAAGGCAACTCGCCTGGCGATCTCCTTTTGTTTGGGCTGGTGGGGATAGGCGAAGCGTCAATACTTTTAGTGAAGTGATCTGCGTGCACCAGGTGGAGCGCTTCAGTTTCTATGGCTTTGTCGGACGCCTTCGGGCTGAATTGCGAGTGCACTGTCCTTAGAGGGACTTAAAGAGAGCCACCTATCCCCATACATGGGCGGGTGACCGGACGGGGCGGAGGTTCCATGGGTCGACGGGGATGGGAACTGGAGAGACGGTGCCGAGCTCCGCTTGTACAGCGCGCCCGCGCTGGCGCCGGTGGAGAGCTGGAGCTCGTGGGGACGCGAGCGGGCGGCGCGGATGCTTACGCCGACCTGAGCGACGAGAAGAGACGGGTCTTCGGCGAGAACGCGCAGCGAGCTTACACCGCGGCTCACGCGGGCCGCAGGCGTGGCACGCCGCGTGGTGAAGAGTGCGCTTACGCGCGAATTTACGCGGGATGCTCACGCGCGAATCCGCGCTGTCGATCCCGTTTTCCTCTGCCTCTCACCTGGCGGCTGTAATCTACCCTCGTTGGCCCGATCTGCATCGTCTCGTTGTCCTGACGGTACGCGTCGTAGACCGAGTAGGGGAAGCACGACCGGGAGACCGCCGACCACAAGGGGCGCCGGGAGCCGGCGGGCCAGCTCGTGGACGTGCTCGTGGAGTTCATCTGGCCAGAGATGCTCGGCGGACGAACAGCTGTATGCCGCATTCTTCGACAGTGGGGACGCCTGTCCCAGGGCGGCTGGGAAGCCTTATACCCCTGCGGTGGATCGTCAGGGCAGACCTTCCAGCCGCTCTGAGACAGGCGCCCCCGATGGCCTCGATACAGTCGGGCCGCTGAGAGAAGGAACGCTAGGTACGGAACAAAGCCCCTTCTTGGCCCTGTACGCGCCTCCGTGCCCAAGGAGGGCAAGAGGGACAGCACTGGAGGAACCTGAGGAACATCGAGCCCCTTCCGGACCCATACTGTTCCTTATGTTTCAGCGTCTCGACTGCAGGCTGGCAGGGTGGGAGGGTTCGGTGTTTTTTTTACCCCCCCCCCCCCACTGTGCACTGCCTCTCTCCGCTCCGCTATGGGTCATATCGTAAACGATGCTCGTTCGAAACTGCATCGTCGGCGATTTGGCCCAAAGAGCCCCCCAGGGGGGCAGAACGCGGAGCCTCATGCCCGTTCCGCTCGAGACTCGATCCGAAACACAGACAGGCGCGTCCAAGGGCGTACGACCTATGTTATACCGCTTCCGCCCGCCGAGATGATCTGCAGCCCGCTGCCCACCAGCGAATTACGGGTGCGCCGAAGAGGGGTGGGAATGAGGAGAAGGGGGTGCGCATCATGACCCGAGGCATGTGCGCGGATGACTGGGCCGAGCAGCGTGTTGAAAGGAGAAGGGGGCGCCGTGACATCTGGGAAATATCGGGGCCCTAGCCATGACATTCTGACACCCCTAGGGCGTTCCGGATCAGAAGGATGCGCGGTACGGACGCAAGGCCGTTGGACGTCCAAATCAAAGCCTTTTGACCGGAAAACTGCTAAGGACGGGCCCCAGGGGCAAGGATATAAGGGCACCCCTGGAGCACTACCCATCCTCATGGTGTTGCTTGACTTTGTAGTCAGAGTAGCCATCACCCTCCTCTTGGACGCCCCCTAGAATTCTAGGACACAACTCCTGGGAGGTCTTCACACGAACGATGAAGAACAGCCCGATGAAGAGGCGCATCGAACAGGCTCAGGCCGGATTCAGCCAAGGCTGATCGAACGGGGCCAGGCTGGATTTTAAGCCCAGGATTACGCCGGAGTCGGCGGGAACCAAATACAGACTGAGCGGGACTGTGCGGGCTCCGGCCGGCCCTAGATGAAGGGGCCCTGGGACACACAAATGAATACACACCAATAACAGGATTCCAAAATGTTCCCCATATTTTCTGGGTTCTTGTCTTCCCCCCACTTCCCATATTTTCGTATATGTTCGGGGGAATCGACGATTATTTGTGTCTGTGAGTGTTTTTTCCCTCCTGACCAAACCATGAACATACCAGCTCCGATGCCAAACTGAACCTCCCAGGACTTGCATCCTGAAGCATTGTGGCTCCGTGCCTCCAGCCGCTGCTCCACGGAGATCGGGTGCTGCCAGAAGCGCCCCTGGCCCGATCGGTGCCCCCCAGGACCTCCAGAGAGGCCTCCACAGCCTCCGGGAGCACCGCTCACGAGGCCTAGAGCGACCCAGGGGCTCCAGATTTGAAAGAGAGGAGGAGGAGGAGGAGGAGGAGGAGGAGGAGGAGGAGGAGAGGAGGAGGAGGAGGAGGAGGAGGGAAAAGGAGGAGGAGGAGGAGGAGGAGGAGGAGGAGGAGGAGGGCCCCTTGGGCCAAGGGCACCTTTCGCAACCCCCGAGGAGAAGCGCGCGGCGCCCCCGGGCCCGCCGCCGGCGCCGCTGGGCTCCAGCAGCGTCCCGACCACCGCGACCCGCCTGCTCCCCTCCGCCATGACGGTCATGGTCCCCGCCTCGGGGCTGAGGCAAGGTGGCACCACCCCCATCAACGGTGATCCTCAAAACGTGTGCTCGCGCCAACTCCACCGCAGGCGCTTGGACACGAAGCCGGCGGCGGCGCAGCGAGTAGACAAGCGCGTTGCACTACTTGCAAAATAACTGCTCGCAAATGGCCTGGATTCGCCGCGGTGGATTTACGATCCACTACATCGAGGCAAACGTGGGTTTGAGGACGTTTGCGAGTAGGTACTTGGCGGGTAGTGGAACGCGCTCGGTGAACGAGGGCCGATGCAACCTGCGTGCTGCTGGGGAGCTGAACGGGGCGCACAAACACACTGGGCAAACAGACGTCCCGAGGACAATCGACCCCATCGCGAGCAGCCACGGGGGAACCTCCTGGTGGGGGCGGTCCCCACTCCCCGCTCGAGACACAAGGTGAAGCCAGGACAGGGACAACATCGGACCAGTCTCTACGATCTGGCGGCTCTGCAGGAAAGATCGGGCGCCGCGGCCGTTCCAGAACGCTCTGGAGCGCTCTGGGAGCTTTCCGGAACACTCTGGAACTATTCAAGCCTGCCTGACAACATCCCGTGTCCCCAACTCGGCCCTGACGTCGGATCCGCCGTACAGTGGTGAATTGTCCGACTTGCAGTCGTGTCGGAAGTGCACCCCGAACGAAGCGAATAAAAAGCAGATAAATCGGGCGGATATTTCCACAACCGTTTGGCGGACACAACGACGGCAACGTAGGGCGGAAATCTACATCAAAGGAACCTGACAAGTAGGGCCAAACTTTCTGCCCCACTTGCAGAATCGCCCCAAATACGGTGATCCGAAGTCAAGGGGGAGATATCATGGGCCTCCTCGCTGCAGGTGACACCCTGGGTGGTGGTGCTAGGCGCCGACATCCCAGCCCTCCCTCGACCAACCACTGGCTCTCCCGACTCGATGGGCGGCGTGAGTGGGGTTCGGACGTGGCCACGTGTTCGACGAACTCTGGACCCTGACGCCCCAGCGCCCATCGAGTTACCTGAACCGTTGATCGGCGAGGACTGGACGCCGCCGGGGCATACAAACCTGATGGGACCCCAGAAAACCGGCCAGGCCAGCAGGGTGTGGCAGCAGCAGGATGAACAGATGTACTTTTGGCCTTGAGCCACAACGACGAAGTACAGTACAACCTTCCCTGAACATCATAGCGGACAATCCTGGCTGCCCCGTGAGCTGGAATGCTGGGCTATACAAGAAAGATCAATATGCTAAACCTATCAAAGGACACCTATCACATGGGTGAAACTTTCTCCTAGGTTTAGCATCCCCTATAGGCAAAACAGTAGCTATACAAATAAGTCAGTGCTCTGGGAGAAGGAGAGAGGGAGAGAGAGGAGGAGGATCCTGGATCCCCGGACTCCGACACTGCGTAGCTCGACTGGAAGTCCTCCCACGAGATGAGTCGAGAGTCCTGGGTCAGCGTTCTCTTGGACGCTGCGTGGGATCGATCCTTGCTGCCGGGGTCGTGCTTGCGACGAGACATCTCTCCGTCCTCGTCCACGAGGACCAAACGGCCGGTGGCGAGCAGACTGCCTAGGGCGGCATTTCCCTTGCTAATGTCGTCTTTAGTCAGACTGTCTACTGGCATACGGGCGTGAGGAACCCACCTGATGTGGCCCCTAGCTCCTTCCAGAGCTTGACACACTGCTGCCAAATCCAAAGCGGTCCTCCTGTCACGTGCGCTGGCATTTCCCTCTTTTAACATGGTGTCATATATACTCTTCGCGTCCACCACGTGGACCTGGTCCTCCCTTCCTCCAAGTCGACAGTCCCGACGCAGGACCGTAGTAAAAGGCCCAGAGCATCGAGACATGTCCGAGACGTCGACATCTCCAAAAACTACATCGCGATAAAGTACTTGAAGAAATTCGACCTCAGACACGGCCTGTGCCAGTGCCTGGGTCTCGCCTGCGAGGGTGGATGTAACCTTACGGCGGAGCTTAGAGCTCCTCCAACCCAGGGTGGACGCTCTCACAGCGCAGTTATCAATCACGCTTCTGTCTGTCGCCAAAACCATCCAGGCCCCTTGCGTGGGATCGGCGGGCAGACCTTGATCGTCCAGGAGGCCCTCATGGGCCCCGACTCCACCCGCATCGGAAAAAGACACGAACGCCATTTTCTCGGGATCGAGACGCCAGATCGTCAGGCCTCTCGAGGCCGTGGACCGAAGGTACCTCACCATTTTGTTGGCGACGGCCACGTCCCGGGTAGTGGCCGCTCTCAGGCGACTCGCCAAAATGCTGGCCGTTCCTTCGGCCTCCGGTCTGGATTCCCGCCCGACCCAGTTCAGCTTGTAAATGAAGGACCGAAGGGCCTTGAACTCTGGCTGGGTGAGGGGGGAGTCCTTCTGTCCAAGACGCCCACGCTCGAGACTGATCGCTCGCACTTCCTCCAGGATGTACTTTTCCTGGTCCACTGTCGTCTTCTGAGGCCCGATGGTGACGCTCCTACCGGCGTACTCGACGGCCCCGGCGTGACAGTCCCGATACTTGCCGAAGCGAAACCTGGAGGTGAGCGTGTCCCTGATCCAGGCCCGGGACTCCTGGGAGTTGCTGGAGATGAAGAAATCGTCCACCTCTAGCAGCACCATATTGAGGAGGGTGCCGTCGGGGGCGTATCTCATCCACCAGCACGGTTCCAGGAGGCTGCGAGTGAAACCTTTCGTCCTGAGATATCCGACGATTGTTTTGCGCCACGCAAGTGGTGCGTCGTCAAGTCCGTAGACATTCACCAAAAGCCGAATCAGGGACCCCCGTTCAACCTTGATGCCCTCGCATGGTTCCACGTATATTTCTCCCTGAGCACGGCTCATGGGATCTGATTGGCAAAAGGCATTCTTCACGTCGGCGATATCGCCGAAGTGTCCGAGATTCATCATCACTTGGATGAACATGAGAATGGACGAGGTCTGGGGAGTGGGAGAGTAGACAAACAACGACCCGGTGTCTGGGTCCTTGTGCCCGTGCACGCACCACCGGGACTTGGCGGTTGGTTCAGAAAATGTGCCCTCCACGGGTTTCCACCGCCGTACCATCCGACTCGTGATGATACGGTCGGGGCACTGCTCTCTGATCACTTTCGCCTCTCGGGGCGGAATGACCTCGACCGCACCAGAACTGGCCATGCTCTGCCACTCGCTGTCATCTGAAATCTCGAACTTCCCCCGCTCAGCTGGAGCGAGCCTGCTCAGAGTGACCTCTCCCCCCCGGCTGGCCGCCAGGACCTCTTTGTGATCCTGAGAAGCCTCCTCAACCAAGAACGCCCGCGCATCCTCGGCTCCCACCAAAAAAGAACACAACCCGTCTCCTCTGAGTCGCGATTCGATCTCCTGCACCCTCCGACCTACCTGGCCTGGTCCCCCTTCGGAGGTGCTGGCGTCTGAGTGGGTCGCGGTTGGCACCGCCTCGGTCGGCTCGAGACCTGGAGGGGGGTCGATCCTAGCTCGCTTCGAGTCGCTAACTCCCGGGGGACAGCTGGCGGCCCGCGTCTCCGCCTGCCTCTGCCGGATGCAGGCGGGAACATCGCTCGGCTGTTGCAGCCGACCTCTGGGCGTTCTCCTTCCTCCTCCCGCGGCGGCGTCAGTGGCGGCAGCAGCGGGAGAGGCAGGAGAGAAAGAGGGAGAAACCGGAGACGGGACGGGGGAAGGAGAGGGAAGAGGAGAGGCCGACGGAGGAGCGGAAGGAGAGGCGGCGGCCGCAGCCGACTCGGGAGACTCCTCTGCCTCTGGCGTATCCTGGCGAGTGGGAGGCTCCTCGTCTCCGTCGTGGCTCTCTTCGATGACGGACGGGAGTCGAGTGACCTCGGACCCGGCCCTTGCCACTGCGGACCCTCCTGCTGACGAAGGCCTCGACGTAGGGGTCCTCGGAGGCCCTGGTCCGATTGGGTCGAAACCTCGGCGGACCATCGGAGGTCCAGGAGGACCCAGGGGCCGCCCAGCAGGAATCTCGACGGACGGATCCGGCCGTGGCGGAGGCTCCGGACCAGTGGGCACGCTAGGCGCCGAGTCCGTTCCGGGATTCAGAGGTTCGTCCCAGGCGTCGTCAGGAGGCGGGCCCTCTCTCTGTACGTCAACAGCTGTAGCGCGCCTGGCCCGGGCCTGGGTCAGGAGCTCCTCCCAGCGCGGGTCCTGGGCGACCTGGAGACCGTACTCTTCCTCCGCACTGGCGAGCCTGACTTGTTCTGGCGAGCACTTCCAAAGGCGGGCGCGTACCGCAACCCACACGGTGCCCCGCTCGGCCAGGACCACCACCCCGGGACCGGTCCAGGCATCCCGTCGACGTCCCAAGGTGTCCGCCCGGGGCCCCGCCCGCGTCATGCGGCGCCACACGAAAACCCACTGGCCTGGAGTGAACGACACCTGGGCCTGGCCGGGACCACGGGCCTTACTCGCCTTGGCAACCTTGTCTCGAGCAGTCGCTTCCAGAGCTAGCTTGCGAGCGAGCTCTCTGACCCGCTGAGACCTGGCGAACTCGGAACCGGCCGAATCGAGCTCCGAAGCGGGTCGAATGGCGTCCTGCCAACCAGGGAGGCCCATGTGATCGTCCGATAACAATTCGTGGGGCATGCGGGGGTTCTCACCGAACACAAGCTGCATCGGAGAAAAGCCTCCTCGGTGCCAGAAGCGGTTCTTGTGAGCGCATAGCTCGTACACCAGTTCTTCGAGCTCGTCCACACTCCCTGGGAGACCCGACCCACCTTCGATCTCGCCTTTGATCCTATCCTTAACCCAGCCTCCATGCCGCTCTACACGGCCATTCTGCCAGGGCGAGTTGGCGTCGCAGACATGGTGGAGGACCCCCCACTGTTCGAGTCCTCGAGCGAAGCGACCTTCGAATTCGGAACCCCCGTCGGAAAGCAGGAAGTGGGGGGCCCCAAAAGGACGGACCCAGGCCTTGACAAACGCTCGCCAGACCTGAACAGCGGTAGGTTCCTCCACACGCACGCACACCTGCAAGTTGGAGCC